TAATTGAAATAAGAGAAGAAAAGCTTTTATAAATAGTCTTTCACAATTTCATCTGAATTTTAGAGTAACTTCAACCAACTCAATGTTTGGACTGTCTCAGGGGGAGGTAGTAACTTAGGGCCTGTTTGGATGGAGTGTTTGGAAGTGTTAGTAATGGAAGTGTTAGTAAGTGTTAGTAAGGTCTCGGAAGGGAAGGGAAGTGTAAGTGTTGGACATAATTTTACCTTGTTTGGGAGAGTCAAATGAATGAAGTGTTAATAATGGAAGTGTTAATAATTTTACCCTGAGGCAAAAGAAACGATTAAAGAGAAGAGATGAAAAACAAACCATCAGACCCGTGGGAAAGACATTCGAAGTGAAATGTCGAAGCATTTTATGTTTTTCGGGTAAATGAGAAGGGTAATAATTGTCCAACACCTCAAAACACTCCAAATCGGGGTGTTAAAAAAATGGACAATTGAGGTGTTAGGAAGGTTATTATTAACACTTCCTAACCATTACTAACACTTCTTAACACCTCTGGATTTTTCTCCCAAACAAGTGTTAGCATCAACACTTACTAACACTTCCATTACTAACCCCCCTCAACACTCAATCCAAACAGGCCGTTAGAGTTTTATTAGCTCTCATGTCAAACACATAATTGGTTAGCAAGAATGTAATTAGTAATCCGGAGCTCCAAGGGGAACTCAACCTCCATATCATGGTCAAAAACTTCTTTCATTGCAGACCCCAGGCACTTTAACTTTAAGGGAAAAGGTGCAAATAGGCCCATGTACTAACCAAAAAAGGTCAAATAAGTCCTTATTTAGGAGGCTTTGTCCGGCCGTCGCCATTTGGGGTGGTTCCCGGTGGAATTTTTTGATGACATTTTTTGAGAATCTTATTCATTAAGTCTAGTTTACTCATACAAAATTTCAGCTAAAAATTCAATCGGGAAAGCATTCAAATGAATTCTTGAAAATAACTGCACACTTAGAAACGCAGTTATCTTCAAGAATTCATTTGAATGCCTTCCCGATTGAAGTTTTAGCTTAAATTTGATATGAGTAAACTAGACTTGATGAATAAGGTGCTCAAAAAATTTCATCAAAAAATTCCACCGGGAACCACCCCAAATGACGACGGCCAGACAGAACCTCCTAAATAAGGGCTTATTTGACCTTTTTTTGATAGCACATGGGCCTATTTGCAACTTTTCCCTAACTTTAACTATTGAACTATCGAAGTATTAAAAGCACTAAAAGAGTGTCATGTTGACATTCAGCAAACATGCAGCTATCAAACTTAAACTCTTAAGTTTGATAGCTTTTGATAGCCCCTAAATATGTGTTCCAGATTCATGAATTGAAAATGTTATTCCTTTTTTGGGCTGTAATTATCCACAAAGGGAATATTACAAAGTTACAAACTAGAATAAGCTTCAATTAAGCAATGCATAATCCCCCAGAAGGCTAAACAAGCAAACAGTTCTTTAAAATGATGACTAAAATTTTGAATCCCAATTGACTTTATATGTCAAAATAATTATGTCACCCAAAGCCTTCTTGTACTAAAATATCACGCAAGCAGCCAACAATAGCATATTCAAAATCTGAATAAGAAAAGAAAAGATAAGCTAAGCTGTAATCACTAAAATGGAAATGATTTGAAAATGTTTTTTTTTCATAGAAAGTGCTAAAAGAAAAGCATCTAAAATGAAACTTTAGACAAAAATAGTATAGAGTTATTTGTCAAACCCTTATAATTGTCAAAAAGAGTACATTACAAAGGCAGAGAAGATTAGGAGAAAGAAGCCTGCTGCGGAACTCTGGTGCAGGTGTCCTCTGATCCCGACGGGGTGGGTTGTGAGCGGCATTCCGAGTAACCCTAATTCTTAATCTATTGAAGGGTCAGGGGCGTAGTAGAGAAAGGTGAGGGGAGTGACTCGGAGGCTAACTAACGAAAGGGTGCGAACGGTTTGTTCCAGAATGCAAACAAAAGAAACATGGTGCAATACTTTAATCACAGAGTATACCTTTTTATATCTATGAAGTTACACCAACAAATTTTTAATACCTAAATTAATCTTACCCTTATTAACATTTATGATTTTGTAAAGATATCCAAACTTAGCTAAGGAATGCCAGAAAGGATTTACTACTATATTTGCCAAGCAATGGTCTCTCGTATACTCTTGTGATCATTATCCAAAATAATAATTATAAGAATAATAATAAGTTCTCTGGTTTGGAACTACACGTAGGATAGAATCTGATATTCTTCCTGGGAGTTTTGCTTTACACATTCTGAGGCTAAAAAATTAGGTAATACCGTAGAACTTTACTACTCCTGGGCTTAAAAATTTTGAGCAGGGATGAAGCACGTTACTGCCCATTTTTACAATCTCCTCATTATCAAAGCAGAAATAGAAAATACTCCGTATACTAATAAACTAATACAGACTAAAATTTTACCAATCAATAAAGCCCCCTTAAAAGAAAAGAAATTTCACTACAATATTATGAACGGATTGTGAAGGCTCAAGTGACTCCACTTCGGGTGCAGCAACAAACCCCCCAGCCTAAACGAATAACCTACTAACAGCCCTCCTAAATAAAACCATCTTTCTTTTAATGAGAACAAAAGCTGCTGTGATGAGTAGAAGAGTAGCTTAGAAACCGCAAGAGGCAAAAATCTGATTTGTAAGAGCACTATGTAAAATTGTTTATCATTTAAATTAAGACCAGTGAATATTTGGTCTACCTATTGGAATTCCTCAAGGTTAAAATATAAACAACCATCTTGGGTTTAAAAAACAGTAGCAACAAAGTTAGTTTTGTCTTTAATTCCAAATGCCAAAATTCCAAATCGGACAGAAAGTTTGAAGACTAAATCAATGTGCTCCTAGGACAATCGCTTTTTTTTGTAAACGCACATGAAATCATTGAAACCAAAAACTTAATTGTAATGTTTAAATGTACTGTTAGTCTATTACAATGAAAACCATAGCAGCCAAATGTTAACACCTTAGCTCAAATCTCTAGACAGAAGGCTACATTTAGCTCAAGAACATCTAGAATATAAGAAACTTCATTGTAGCACGGACACCAACTGAATTAAAATAGCGTAAAAAAGGCCTATATCAGCGTGTTGTGCAACCTGTGTAAAAAAAAAAGAAAACAAGAACAAACAAGGAAGAAGACGCACCTGGAGAAGTGTGAGGTTGCGGGAAAAATCGTCTGCTAACGGAACAACACGGATTTATACAGCCAGGGGAGAGTAGTGAAGATGACCGTGTCCATTGGATTTCCATAACTTCCTCTGGAGAGGAGAAGGATCGATGTGCTGAAATTAAACGGGTTAATAAATGGCCAGGGTTATGATCAAATGAGGGAAAAAAACTCACAGACAAAATGCCAAAGAAGAGGAAAGGACTGAGCGGGATGTGCAGACCAAGAGGGAGGCTGAGCGTGTGTCGGCGAAGCGAAGATCCTGATTCGAACACATGGGCCTATTGGGGCGGTTGGGCTAAAGAGGAAGACGAATACAGAAACGAGGCTGGTGCTTAAAATATTAACGGACATTAACGGGAAACAAACGGAGTGTTGGGAGACAAAGCCAATTGAAAATAAAAAGTTTACAAGCATTTAAACACCAAGTACATGTCAACTGAGCTTAGAATACCACCAACAATTTTTTTATACCCACAATACCCTAACCTTCATTCAAGTTTATTACATTGTATATATAGATAGATATCAACCCATCGGCGAACGATTATCTAAATTAATGAAGTTGGTTGTGTACATTTAAAGAAATCTAAACAAATTTGTGCTTGCTTTTATCGGTTTCTAATTTTTTCATAAACAAATTAACTCATAATTTACTCTATACCACATGAAAATGTTGAAAATTTAAAAAACACGTTTTTTTAAAAAATTCTAATCACTTTACAGTTTACACATCAAAGTCCAATATTTAGTGAACACTTGATATAATTAGGGATGACAATTGTGACCGATCCGATGTGTACCCGCACCGAACCGTTCTGGTCAAAACGGGGAAAACCGCATTGCCCGGGTAATGGGTATGAGGTGGGGAATACCCATTTTATTTTTATGGATAACAGGGCGGTTACTGTTTTATACATGCCCGCCCCATTACCCGCCCCGTACCCGCCTCGTTTATTTTTAGTTATATTTTGATTGCATGTTTCCTATTATTTGTCCCACAATTGATAAAATATGAGTTTTTCTCTTTTCATTGTGTATATATGGATGTACTTATTACTATGCATAGTATATGAATAAAAGTTCATAATAAATTTTAATAGTTTCGTTTGATTCTTATCATTTTTTCTTGATTAATTATTTTTCTTTTTAAGTATTTTATGGTCAAATTAATTTAGGTTGCATTCTTTCTTGTCTTGTAGATGTACGAAACTTTTAAGCGATATCATTTTTTTCTTTTAAAATATTAATTTTTATATTAAAATATCAATGACACATTTAATAAAGCGGTTACCCGTGGTTACCTGCGGTTATACCCGTTACCCGTTAGGGCAGTTATGATTTGGATAAAAATTACCCGTTGGATAATGGGGCGGTTACGGGGCAAGGAAGTTTCCCAACAGAGCGGATACGGTTATATGCATAACCGTTCCCGATCTGCCCCGTTGCCATCTCTAGATATAATACTGAATTCTGTAATTTCATTAATCACCACCAATATTAACTTTTTTAATAACGGATCAGAGTTTCTCAGGTTTTTTTTATTACAATCAATTTGTAATTCACGTCTAGCAACCAAATCAAACCGGATCCTAACAATTCGATTTGAATCCGTTCTCCGATTGCCTTTCCAAAGTCATGGGCTCATGGCAATGGTAGCAAGACCATATATATACGCATACATCATACACGTATGTACGTCTTTGTGTGTACTGTATGTATATACGGATCATATATGTATTCACATATATATACGCACAACAACACAAATCATTCAATCCTTTCATTATTTATCTCCGCCACCTTCTTTATATCCTTTCTACCTCCCACATCCCCACTATATCCTCATCCATCGCCAGGTTTACCAGTGATTGATGATGATGAAGGACGAATGGCTAACGGCCGCGATGACGGATGACGCGGTGGTGGTGGAACTTTTGTTCTCCCTCAAGCGCTCGTCGGAAAAGTGCACGCCGCCGCGACCGCAGCTGCATCCGGACGGGATTAAGTTATTTCACAAGCGGTTTCCTTCTCCGGGCAATTGGGGTCACCGCCAGCCAAGATCAAAACCGGCGGCGACGGTCAGCCGCAAGGAGTCTGGCTCTGGAGCTGACGCGAGGTACAGTCCTACAACTCCGCTCTCGTGGAGTGGCGCCGCAGCTTCACCCAGCGACGGCGGCTATGACGTGTCCAGCCATCTTCCGTCTTCTTCTGATCTAACCTCCTCCTTCAGATCCAAGGTTTTGTGTAACTGTTTCCGCTTTCCTCGCTTTCCAATTTTCTCCAATACCGTCATTCAGAGAATTATTTCCTTCTATATACGAAGTATATATTCGTTTTCATTAATTAATAAATCAGTGAGTTAAATTGAATGAATATCCTCTTCTCAAATGCCCTCTCCGAAGCTTCGGATCTGGGGAAATTTCCAATGTAAGCGTGTTTCAAGTGCCTCGAGCTCTGTCTCTCTCCTCTGGGCTGTAATAATCCATTCTCTTCATCGGGAAATAAACCTATACTTTTTTTTACCTAATTAAATACAGTATAACAACAATGCTTTTTAAACAAAACGGGTCAATGATACTCCGTACTTTTTTTTTTGAGTAAATAGTGGATCACCTAATTCAATGGGTAGGGTCGTAAAAGAGAAATTAATGAAGGGGTCACATAGCTGCATGTAGGTATGGGCCCCGCACTCGCCGCCGCGGAGTTGGGAGTCGCCGTCGTAACCGCGGCCTCATGGACTTATCATGTGGCTTCTCCTTGATTCCATCTGTTCTTTTGTCAGGAGGCGGGCCAGACCTGTAATTATCTTTGGTGATGTGTATTGCGGGTTCTGCTTTTTTATTTTTTTGACCTTTTCAAGTTGTCATCTCTTTCATGTTTTTTAAAATGTTTTTTTCCGGATTTGTTTATTGGGGTAGAGTGTTAGTGTGTTACTCTTTATTTTCACTTTTCCCTTTTCATACATGATACATCCCTATTATTATCCCTCTAATTACTACCAGTTTTGCTATTTTTAAACAGTGTAAAGTGAAAGAGGAATATAGATAAGGACAGGGGAATAAAAGCTATGGAGTACTATTTTTAGACAGACTGGTTTTCTTATGTTATTTTAAGAAAACATTAGAAAAAAGTTACTTTTAATACTCCGTATTTTGTTTTCTTTGATTGGAGTAGATGCTGCGGAAAGAACTTACGAAGTATTTTGAGAATCTTGTATGGATTTATTTTCAAAAATATCAGAAAAAGTTCATTTGTAAAGAAATAAATGTCAAAACGGGAAAATATAAACAATGTTTTTAAAAAAATTAACCAGTGCTCATATGAGAAAAACATTCCCGATAAAATAGGCTTTCCCAAACGTTATGATTTTTGGAGTTTTGTTGAATGATTTATTGACAAATCTGGGTCCATATAATAATAGGAAACCTTTTTTGTTTTGTTTTGTAACTTGATCATGATTCTTGTAGGTAGATCTACCACGTCAGTGATACACAAATGTTTTGTTGGGCTTTGTGTCTATCCCTTGGGCTCGAAGGGTAGTCCTTCTATCGAATCTTTGAGCCCACACTGTTGTGCCTCTTGAGCAGTTTAGTTGGTTACTGGGGGTAACATCATACCAATAAAGCACATATTATGTTCTTGACACTACAGCAACAGCATGAGTTTTACACCTAAATATAAAATGGTGTGTTTCGTGTGGGAACTGGGCATTTACCCTCCCATCTAAGGGTACATAGATCAGGTTGTAAGGTCAAGAGGCAAGGGATTTTGCCTATTTAACCAACATTAACACTTTTTCCTTTTAAGATTTTTTAAGTTTGTATGATTTCTCTCTTTTCTGTATGAGTTTCAATGACACAGTTATCACCTTTTTAATCACTGTGTTTAGTCATATCATGATTAATTTTGGATGGATAAAGTACTAAATTTGGTAGTGTGATGAATTCAAACTGTGTCCAAGCAGGCTCCTTAGGAATTATAAGTTTAATGTGCATATCATGAATGGACAATTATATTTGCACAAACTGTAACGTGTAATCAGATGTATGTACATTTGGTTGGTATCACTTTTGTTTCTGCTTACCTATTTCGGTCATGTTCGCATTTTAGATTGGGATTAACGTAAAATCATCTTTCTTATCATCTTTAACACATGGTGCAGTGGCTAATTTTACTAATAGATCAAGTCTGCTCATGTGCTCACTTGCAGGTTGCTTTTACTAATGTAACCAGCTATGTTGGAAAATCTATCAGTGGTTTTAGAAAGAGAAAGGTAATGTTTCACATCAACCAATTGATTGGACACAATATGATTTCTGTTAAGTATCCACCATGTAGGATGTCTGATACTCTGATATATCGATTCCCTTTGACTGGGTATTTTAATATAGGATCTTAATATTAGGCTGATTGTGATTTGTTCGTCCGTCTGACTGTCCACCTAGTGGTTTACTGGTTTAGGACCTGTTTGGTTCATTTAACGATCCGTTCAGTTGCAGCCTGATATAGACTGAGAGGGGGTTAAGTGTTCCACATAGGCTCATAGCGAATATACCTAATTAGACAACTCTTGTTCTGAATTTATAAAACAAAACCCATTGAGAGGCTAATATTAACATCTTTTCATTTGATGGGCAGGCATTCCTTATGGATGAAGAAAACTCGATTCTTAAGGGAAAGGTATATTCGGGAAGGGTTAATATCGTGTTATTTTCTTCTTTCGTTATGAAATTCACTGATTTGAGATTGATATCTGACCAACATAGAATCTGGCACCTCTTTGTGGGATCCTTAATCAACAAAAAGACAGCATAGGAGACATGAAGAGGATCAAGGTAAAAACCAATTGAAATTCTCTAAATAAATTAGTGATATGGATGTCAGGCTCCTCTTGCATATTTCTAAGAAAGAGTTGTATTAACATGCTATTGACCTGGCCAGTTTGATTTGAATGTGCAGCAATCAGTTGGTGATATAGATGTCGGAGGGCCCCACATGCGCGCATTACCATCTGCTGTTACACATTCAGCTCTGCCTAGACACACAGTAGTAGATAATGACCTTGTACTAATGAGGCAGAAGTCAGTTGAGACGCGGGGCAGAGGCTTCATCCTTCCAGATCTAAACACGGCTCCTATGGAAGATGATACAGACCTGGGGTGGAACTAATAAAGCATAAATCTTCAGAGAAAAATAACTGCTGTTTCTATTCTTCGGAGGGTCATTAGGATGGCGATGATCATGGGATGGTCTGCAGATTGCTTGCAATCACAGAGGAGCTGTTTGAAGATGGCAGTAGATCACTGCAAGCCCCTCCACGTTTGGAGGTTTTGTAGTGTAGTACATCAGTATAGTGTAGAGAAGATATTGACGGCTAGTATGTAGAAAAATCTTGATAATTTGTTTATTGATATCTTGTTGCAATTTAAAGAGACATGAAATTAAAGTGAAACAAAATGGTAGAAAATTCCCCTACCATTTCTCCTTTGCCATTTACTCATCTGAGTACGATTCTTCCTAGCACCGAAGTTCCATCTTATATGAATTCGTACATAAAGTGCTTTGAAACTATTACATCATATTGTGGCGTCATATTATGTTTCAATCCCAATAGAAAATTGTTGATGCCCTTTGGCCTCCGGTTTACACAGACATATGTATACAGCTTTTTTGTTTGTGATGAGGTGATTTTTTTAATGCGTATAAAAGAAGCAGAGTTGGTCCCAACATCAATTGTGTTATCTTCATGTAATCGAGGATTGACTAATCCCGACATCGTAGGGTGCAGAGCAATCACCATGTTCCACACTAGGTTAGCTGCAATTAGGCATAGACTCGGTCCAGTCCCGATTCTAAAAATCACACCAATGAACAGGTAACGAAGACCGAGGCGGGGAGATGGTCTTGGACTGGGACCTGAAAACCAGTTCCGAGCTGGTCCCAAATAGTGTTGGGCCCGATTTCGGCTAGATTGAGACTAGCAGACCGGGTCCATCCCTAGTTATGATCATGATGCGGAACATCACCAAGTGATGCAAAGAACAAGTCTCACGCCACAGCCACACTAGGCCTGGCCTCGGGCCGGTTCGGGCCCGGTTCGGGCCTGGGCCCGGCCGGGCCTCGGTTCGGTAATGTAAGGCCCGGGCCCGGCCCGCCTGTGAGCGGGTGACGGTTCGGGCCGGGTGACCCGGCCGGGCCCCGGGTCGGGTGAACCGGCGGGTCGGGTCGGGCCTAGAATTTTTTTTTTTTTTTTATCTTATATTCTTATACATCTACTTGGAATCTTGAATATTAAAATTATTTAAAAACAATCTTGAAGTACATTTATGTGAAATAAGTAATAAGTACATTTTGAGAATTGAGAACAATTAATTCTAATACATTTTCTATTAAGTAATAATAATATAATATAATTAAAAAATGCGACATATAAAAAAATTTAACTTTTATTGATTTGAATTTTGAAATATGAACTACAAATCTACAAGTTCACAAGTTGATGATGAATAGGGAGAAGATAATATATGTATATAAAGTAGATAATTAGATATCAAATTATCTACTTTAAGAAGATAGTAAGTATATATTAACTATTAAGTAGACAATAAATATTAGTAAAGTACTATATGTATATGTAAGTAGATAATAAATATATAAGTAGATATAATATATTAATAATAAGTAGAAATTAAGTAGATAAGGAATATAAGTTATATAATATATATATATATATATATATATATATAAACTAGCTAATTATAAGATAATAAATATATATTAAGTAGATAATAAATATTAGTAATGTAATATATGTATATATAAGTAGATAATTAATATATAAGTAGATATAATAATATTTATATAAATAATATATATGTAGAGATAAATTGGAGAAGAATAGAAGATGTTGGGATAATGGCCCAGGCCGAGGCCCGGCCCATTAACCCCCTTTTTTCTATCGGACGCACGTCATGACTAGGATCAGGCTGGGCGCAGGCCCACGACCCTTGGGAAGAGACGAACATCGGGAATGGGGGGGTCCAGGTTCAACGGCCCATCGCGACGGACGTCTGTGCAGAGGTAAGGGGCAGGACCACTGGCCATCTGGGGTACGACGAACGTCTCCGGAGAAGGCCCATGATCGTCGGAAGAGATCCAGTCCACATGAGAGAATCCACAAGGTCAGGGGACGAACAGCCGAAGTCCCTTGAGGGTCACTTGGAGTGACCCAGCTCACCCCCTGGCGGACGAACGTCCCCATTATTTAGGCGGGAAGCCTAGATTCTGGCGGGAAGTGCATTTAATGCAGAAGATTTGGTGGTTGGGACACAAGCGGTCCGCAGGCCTCCACGTCAGCATAGCCACCTGCCTATTGGCGGGTATAAATAGAAGCATTTATTTCATTGTGAGGGGTTGGCAACTTTCTATTCTTAGCACTAGCTATAGCATCCTTACTCGCAGCACTTCTACTGCCTTGTAAGACGAACGGCCGACGGAGCCCTTAGCAAGAAGTATTGTATTAGGGAGTTATTAAGAGATAATAATACCTAATCATTTACTTGCTACTTCTTGTTCTCTATAGTTCATATCATCTGCTTGTTGGGTTAGATATCATACACTCACTCCACTCGAAATCTTTGGGCTTACGTGTTGGGTCCAAGGGTTGAAGGAATAAACCTCAACACTGGCGCCGTCTGTGGGAATTCCTGGCTTCGGAATTCCAGAACAGGTCGTCACCGACAATGGCCGGCAGTTCGTCAGCAGAGGATTTGAGGCATACCTGGCAAAATGGGGCATCAGGCACTCTAAGGCCTCGGTGGCCTACCCACAGGCCAACGGCCAGGTGGAAAACATGAACCGGACCATCATGGATGGGATTAAAAAGAAATTGGAGGATTACACATCCACCTGGCCGGAGCAGCTCAACTACGTACTCTGGACGTACAGAACAACCCCAAGGACGGCAACCGGCGAGACACCTTTTGCTTTGGCATACGGGTTCCAGGCCAAGGTGCCAACGGAGGTGCTGGTGCCCACGCACCGCACGAAACATTTCCAGCCGGAGGACAACGAGGCAAACCTACGAGCGGAGCTCCACTTCATTGAGGAACGAAGAAACCTAGCAGCTCGTCGCATGGAGGAATATCACCGGGCCACCCAAAGATACTTCAACAAGGCGGTGAAGATCCGCGAAGTTGAGGCTGGGGACCTCGTACTCAGAAAGAGAGAGAAGAGCAAGCCGCTCGAAGGTGGCAAGATGGCCAAAAACTGGGAAGGGCCGTACAAGGTCATGAGAAGATACAACCAGGGGACGTTCCTCCTCCACACCTTGGAAGGAAACCACGCTGGGATCTGGAACGTCGAACACTTGAAGAAATTCTACCAATAATTAGAGATAGATCGTTGTAATATTTTGGTCGAAGTACCATGTAACACCACCGATCGTCTTCTCTATAATAAAAGGATTACTCCTGTTCCTCACTTCCTATAGAGAGATAAAAGCCGAAGTGCTATTGAAATGATTTCCTCCTCAAAAAAAAAAAAAAAAAAAAAAAAAATGATGATGAGGAGAAGGGGAGAGAGAAGCTCCTATGAGAGAGGGAGTCTTGACGAGGTATGCCTGATCTTCCTTCACTGCGTGACGAACGTCTCCCGACGTGGAGGTTAGTAGGAACGTGGGGGAGGCTAGACGTACCAAAGGGAACCTCGGCAGGATAAACCAGTTCCTTCCATAACCCGTGGATCGATGAACACCTTCTGCCAAAGCAGAAGGTTAGTAGGGCCACGAGCATGGAACGACGAAACAGGGAATCCCGACGTGGATAAACCAGCGACCTCCTTGCGATCGTTGGATGACCGAACGTCTTCTTCGGAGTAAAGAAGATTAGTAGGACCACGACAAGGACGAACAAAGCCTAGTTCCTCCCCCTGATGAGCGCATGACGAAAGCCTTCTGCGAAGCCAGAAGACTAGTAGTTCGCGGCTGGGGACGAACGGAGATAGGGAATCCCGACGTGGATAAACCTGTTTTTCCCGAGGCAGGGATGGCGAACGTCTCCTACGAAACCAGGAGACAAGTACCCACGAAGCTAGGGAAGAACAAAGACTGATAAAAAGACTCCAAAAAAAAAAAAAAAAAAAAAAAAAAAAGAGAAGAAAGAGAGAGAGTGACATGGAGCAAATAATGATTTTTATTCTTCGGTACTAATGACCGGAAGGTACAGACTATGAGCGGAGAATCAAGTTTGGCCAGCGTCCGGAGTGGGGGCCGTAAAGGGGACCTGCCTGGCTTTTTCCCTGGCCTCAGCTTCTTCACGCTCCTTACGCTCCCTCAGCAGTTCAAGGGCCCCTCTATGGGCGTCTACCATCAGGGAATCAAAGCCAGCTGCCGCAGGATCAAAAGGAGCCCCAAAGTGACGCTCGAAGACCGGGAGGTTCTCTGCCACAAGGCCGACCATACCCTTAAGATAAGTATCGTCGGCAAGATCATCGAGGAAGCGCTCCCCAGTGGGAGTAGCCTGGAGCATTTTGACGCCATCCAGATAAGGGTCCGGGCAAGTGGCCAAAAACTCACCGACGAGCCTCGGAAGGAACCTCATGGCCATGGTATGAATGGCACCAGTGTAGGCTTTGGACTTCTGGAACTCAATGGAACCAGATTCCTTGATCTTTGAAACGTCGGCCTCGTAGATGGGGACATGGTTATCGACACCCGTACGGCGGATTTCCACCTTTGCCTGCTCCACGGCCCACAACCGGCTGCGAAGATCTACAAGCTCGGCCTCCTGCTTCCTAAGGAGCTCCTTTTGGGAAGCGTTCTCCTGGGCAAGCTTGTCATAGGCATCGGCTTTTTCCTGAAGTGTCCCGGCCCTGCCTTTGGCATTCCTCAAAAGGGCGTCGCATTCAGCCCGCACCCGGGCCATTTCCTTACCTTGATGCTCAAAGGCCATCCGAGCCCGGTGGAAATATAGCCCGGCCTTGTCAAGGGTGCTCTGCCCACACTCCAGGAGATCCTCAGGAGCTTCCTGGGCGGCGAAATCTTGGGGGACCTTGAGGTTGAGGCCGCACCAGATCGAAGACGCGGTCTGGCCGAAGAGCATCATCGACTCCTTACGAGGACCAACCCCCGAGAATTCGATAAGGCCAAGGGAGGACCCGTTGGTTTCTGGGGGCGAAGGGGGACGAGCATCGTCAGAGCCCTTTGTAGCATGGACATCTTCATCCCTACGTCGACGGACCTCAGAATCGGCCGGAGGGGAAACAGGGGGCTTGTTCTGAGAGGAGGGCCTCCGCTTCAAGGGACTTCCCGGCTCACCGTCGGAGTCATCAGCCACTATGATGGCTTTGGAGGCGGTACCATCGATGCGGAGCCTCTCCGAAGCCCCGGCCTCTGGTGTGTCGTCTGACCGCCTCCTGCTCGCCCGAGGCTCAATTTTGGGGACGAGCGGCTTCCTGCCCTTGTCCTCATGCCTGTTGTCGCGGCCATGGGCATGCGAAGTAATGTGAGTACGCCCCATGGATAATATAGTTGGGAAAACTCCTGCAGGAAGAAAATCAAGACGTTCAGAACCATAACAACTAGAAGATGACAG